GAAGGAGAGACAGAGACAGACAGACAAGGAATTGAAAGAGAGACAGACAGACAGACAAGGAACTGAAGGAAAAATAAAGCAAACATCAACTATTAAACAAGTGTTTTGACCAGTCTAAGGGTGGAGATTGAAGACCGGATAAATAAAGATGTCTGAAACTCTTGATAGGAAAACTGTTTCCGACAATCTGTTCTTGTTCCAGATTTCTTCCGAGTTCCTCTTATTTGTGAGCTGTTACAAGATTGATTCTTTTCTATTCAGCAGTGCTTTGTCGTTATTTGAAAAATACACCTGCATCCTTCTCTTCTTAGAAATGTTCCATGAAATGTGGAATTAAATATGAGCTCAACAAAAGAGCCTCTTAGACACTATTGGAAAAACGTACAAACTAATTCAGGGCCAGAATTCTTACATCCCTGTTTTGAAACTCCCACAGCCTCCCGGCTGCCAAAACAGCAGTGAAGAAGACTGTGCTTTACAAACTGACTGAAGTTTTATTATTATTACTAACTCGATACCCGTGCTTCGCTACGAAACATTGTTGTTGGGCTTAGTTTTGGGGGAGGAAAATAAGGGGGGGGGAATTGTGCCTCTGACTACCAGCATCCATCGGTATTCATCTGGCTAGCGTCCTGTCAGTGTGTGAGAGAGTTGAGTGCTGTTTGGAAACTGAAACAGTATTTGCTGTGTGAGCAAGGAGACAGCAAGGAACCTGGGCGTGGCTTAGCTCAACTGTTCTGTACTAAAGCTGCTTGCTGCTGTGAAAGTAAAACTGAAACTCCTCTGCTTGTGTTTTGCATTTGGAACAGATTTCTTTCAGGTGGGGAGGGGGAGTAGAACTCCTTAGCATCAGAGCGTGTTAATAACAATATGGGAAATACTAATGCTCTGATGGTCATTTTGAAAAATCCTTTCTTAGTGAGCACCTAGAAGCCCAGAGGAACATACGTGTCAAATTTCAAGTTTGTAGGCTTTACGGTTCTGGAGATTTTGTGATGATGCATGAGTGGGATTTCATTTTTATAGAGAGAGATTATTTTTCTCTTCTTTTTGGGTCATGCATTTATTCATTCATTTACTCTTGCTGCACCAGTAAAAAAAAAAACACTTGAGCCTTCGTTTACAATTGAAAATGGTAAATCTGTTCTGCTACTTGAGAATTTCTACAACTTTCATATATATATATTTATTTGAATCCCACCTTTATTACTTTTGCAAATAACCCGAGGCAGTGGCCCCACAACAGCAACCCTGTGAGGTGGGTTGGGCTGAGAGAGAATTACTGGCTCAAAGTTATCCAACCAGTTTTCATGGCTAAGGCAGGACTTGAACTCACGGTCTCCTGCTTTCTAGCCTGTTCCCTTAACCACTAGACCAAACTGGCTCTCTATAGTGATTGTTAAAAAAAGTGGGGGGGAGAGAGAGAGAAGGAAAAAATGGGGACCCTTTTCTAGACTAATGTTTTTCTTTAACGTTTGTGCAGGTTTCAGGATATTCATTAGTCGTGCAGGCTCAAGACAGTGGTAACCCTCCTTTGACCGCCACAGTGACGGTCAATGTTGACATTTCTGATGTGAACGATAACAGTCCTGTGTTTACACCTGCCAATTATACAGCTGTGATTCAGGTAAGCTGATCCAAACCATTCCCAGAGGGCCCTTTAAGATATAAAGATGTCCGCATGCAGTTTCGATCCCAGTTGTTGATTTATCAGCTTGCAGGGCATGGTATCATACCTTTCTTTACAAGGAAAGGAAGCTGCAGTTGCCATAAGCTGGTTCGTAAATGGGAATGAGACTCAAAAGTTCTTGTTTGCTTAGGAGATTCCAAGTCTCGGAGAATTTGGATGGGGTTGTTTTATTGAATTGCAGAGTTGAGTTTTCTAGTCTGTTGGCCATAGGATAAGATGTGGGGAAGGAGAAATTAGTGTAAGCCTGCCTTTTCATACTCATTCCTTTACCTACCGTACATTCTCACCTACATCCTCAAATAGTAATAAAACTGGCCCTACCTATGCTACCAACTCATCATCATCATACAGATAATCAGAGTTGGAAGGGACCTTGTAGGTCATCTAGTCCAACCCCCGGCCCAAGCGGGAAACCCTGCACGATTTCTGACCAAGCAGAAAACCCTACACCATTTTTCTCTTCATCATCATCATCCTCTTTTAATGACTCCATAATCCTTTGCGGGGCAGAGGCTGGGCAACTGAACGGAGCTGAGTGTTTACTGGCCGGCTGCCCTTCCTGTCGCCAATGCGGAGTTACATTCAGCAGGTATATTCTCAACGTGCCTAGAGAGAGAAATATCTGTCTCTACCTAGGATCGAACTCCCAGCCTCTTGATTGTGAGGCGAGAGCTCCACCTTTAGGCCACCACTCGCCACTGCACCACTCGCCAGTGCTACCAACTGCTCACATTTTAATGGTGTACAACATATCTATGTCGGTGTTTCTCAACCTCAGCCATTTTCAGATGTATGGATTCCATCTGGCTGGAAGTTTATACTTCTTATAATGGTTGTAAGGTTGAGAAATACTGATATTGATAGCAGGAAAGGAAATGGAATACACTATTTCAGAAAGTTGGCAAAGATGATTGAAACCAAGGTAGGATACCCCTTCTGTTTCTTGCGGATAAAATGTAGTAACCTAGAGTTGAGTTTATTAAATAGAACAGGCTACTGGAGGTGGAGGAGTGCAGCGGCCTACCATTTAAAGATGCTAGGCCAGGGGTCTTCAATCTTGACAGCTTTAAGACTTGTGGACTTCAACTCCCAGAATTCCTCCTCCAGTCATGTTAACTCAGGAATTGTGGGAATTTGAAGTCCATAAGTCTTAAACTTGACAAGTTTGAAGACCCTTGGGCTAGGCTGTCAACTGGAAGATTGGCAGTTTGAGACCCAAGGCTGTCAACTGGAAGATTGGTAGTTTGAGACCGTGCAATAGGGTGAGCTCCCATTCCTTGCTCCAGCTCCTGCCCAACCTAGAAATTCAAAAGCATGCCAATGCAAATAGATAAATAGGTACCACAGGTGGGAAGGTAACAGCATTCCAAGCATCTTGGCCAAATGAACACCACATGAAGTACCTTTGGACAACACTGGCTCCCTCGGCCAGGAAACAGAGATGAGTACTGGCCTGTAGAGTCGGGAAACCTTTACCTTTTACTAGAGATAAAAGTGGAAATGCATCCCTAATTAAAGACTATGATTCTTGCTCTAAGTCAGGGGCGTCAAACTCAAGGCCCCTGGGCCGGAAGAGCTTGTGAGGGCTGTGTCTGTTCCTCCTGAGCTCCGTTTTCACTGGCAGAAGGTTGCAGGAGGCCATCGCAGCTGGAAACGGAACTCGAGAGCCCGTTTTCGCCAGCAGAAAGAAACTCTGGCGCCCCTGATACGAGTGACATCAAGCTAGCCACGCCCACCGAGGTCAAACCCAACCCTGATGTGATCCGCAATGAAATCGTGTTTGACACCCCTGCTCTAAGTTGTCATCTCTAACCAATCTATAGGTTATTCTAGCAGTACCAAAGCGCGAGTCAAATGCACATTTTTATAACAGATGGCAGATAGGAAAGAAACAACTATGTGTGCTATCGAAATGCCATATTCTCACACCTCGCTCCTCAGTGTGCCAAGCTGTGTAATTAAAGATCCTGTCTCTCGTTTTCTCTGCCTCTCTTTTTAACGCTACATTCGGCGACGATGCACAAAGGAAAACAAGCCAGTGGGAACCAGTATTCTGCAATTGGTGGTAACGGATAAAGACTCCCTGCATAACGGCCCACCTTTCACCTTCGCCATCCTGGCTGGAAACAAAGAGAAAGAATTCATGCTTGACCAGCAAGGCATCTTGCGATCCGCTGTCATCTTCAAACGCATGGTAGCCACGGAATACGTGCTGTGTATTCAGGTACGAAGTTCATTTGTTCATCCCTACAGAAAATGGTCAAACATCGTTCTTAAAAGGCCTTCAGAGCAAAATTTTCCTGTCAATGTAACTGTGATCACCTACACACGATGTTTTTAGCAAACTTCCTTGAAATAGACCTTTTGGCACGTATTTAAATTTTATGGAACGCAGGAGTAAAATACTTTGCACGAGATGAAATTTTTGCAGTTGATCATTTTAAGGCTGTCATTACTTTTTTTCGATAGATAGATGGATGATAGATAGACAGACAGACAGACAGACAGACAGAGAGACAGACAGACAAGAAGGATGGGGAGGTAGGCAGGCAGGCAGACGGAGGGGAGAGAGATAGACTAGATAGATGGATGGATAGATAGACAGACAGTAAAACAGACAGATAGATAGACTGGATGGATGGATGATAGGCAGGCAGGATAGAGGGAGGGAGGGTGATCTAGATATCTCTATCTACCTACCTATCTATTAAAAGGTTTGAAGAGAACCACGACACGTTGGAAGAGCGATTGGTTCTCTAGAAGTAATACAAGGCAAATGCAAATTAAATTTGAAAATGAAAAAGAGGAAAAATGTCAGAGAGCTAAAGTGCAATAAGACTTTTCGTGTAAAAATGAAGAAAATGAATGTGTGATTTATGATTTTGATGATTAGACTGGATAGATCTTACTTGGGGGGGAAAGGGCTGCCCTCCACAACAGTCCCAGTTTCTCATATGCCCCTTTGAAAAATTAATTGTCCCCCTCTGCAATAGTTTATAGAAAGAAGGCAGTCTTGATGTAACTTAAGAGAGAGAGATTAAATGCTATTGTCCATATGACTGCTTTGAAGAATGGCAGAAGCTATTTCTTTATATGTTTAGATCTTTATTTTTTTTTATTTTTTTTTCTCAATGTTTTTCTTAGAACCCACACAAGCAGGGGTGGGATTCTACCTGTTCGCACCTATTTGCTAGAACCGGTTGTTAACATTCTAAGCAGTTTGGAGAACTGGTTGTTAGAAGAAATTACTGGGCTAATCCTGTAAGGAAGGCAGGAAGGAAACATTCTGGTGTTGCTTACAGAAACTGCCTCTCGGTTAATCCTTATTACATTCTTAGCAAGACTAGACTTCCTGTCTCAGGAACTTCTCTGGAGTTTTTTTCCCCTCCTGCTTGTGTGGAGTGGCCATTCAAAGTTACAATGGCACTGAAAAAAGTGACTTATACCATTTTTCATACTTACGACTGTTGCAGCATCCCCACAGTCATGAGAGGCCAGGCGAGGAGATGCGTGCCTCAATGTGAGTGATATTGAATTGGCCATGCCCAGCCAATAACATGACCACCAAGCCACGTCCACCAGTCACATGACCACCAAGCCATGCCAACCAACTAAGCCATGCCCACAGAACCGGTTGTTAAAAAATTTGAATCCCACCCCTGCACACAAAATATCGTTTTACCGTATAAGCAAAAACTCAACATTCTGATTGTAATCCCAATTTAAGTTTTGTGAGCATTCCATGATCTGCGTACATAAAAAAATATTATAGATGCCAATCAAATCCATAAAATATATCCCATTTTGGAGCGCTCCAAACTCTGCAAGTTCCAAAATATTCAAACACATTTCAACTTGCAAACCCTGCCTGCAGCTTTTTTCCATTTGGGAAATCACTCCCAAAGAGAAGATTTTTCTCTTGCAAGAAAAAGATTGCCCCAGCTGTTCTGTACCTCCAAATTATGCGCAGGCCACCTGTTATAACTGGGTGTTCCACTTTTTACCAAGAAATAACTAGAAATCTGATGTTCTTTCCAATTCAACACTAGCAAGCTGGCATTCTTGCAGCTGAATTCTTACACCGTTGAAAGTCCAAAATGCTTTTTTTTTTAAAGTATTTTTTCAATTATTTTTATTATATTCTTAAGGCACAGCCTGGAAATGATGAATGGCATCTTTGAGTGATGTTCAGGTTTCTAAACCCAATCTCAATTCTTCATTCCAGAAGTTGGATGTGGGAGGAAAGAATAACTTGAAAGTACGGTGTCCCAAAGGTGCTTTTTCAGGAAGCAACTAGACTCCATTTTCACTGGCAGAGGCACGTCCTTTACTGTGCCCAGGGTGGCACTGTGGGCCAGTTCTAAGCACCCTGTGGGCCGCAGGCCTTGAGTTTGACACCCCTGGACTAGACTGTTCATTGAACACAGAAGTCCTTGTCTTTGGTTACATTGGCCTGGAATGTAATTGCAATCTCAATTTTCCTTTTCAATGCCCATTGACTATTATAAGGCAATGGTGACATGCAGTTTGCAGATGTGCTTCGCTAGGCCTTGAGGGGCTTATTTATTTGTTTTGCTGTAGATCTGGCATCGGAGTTTTTGCTTTTGAGACTCTGAAATTCCTCTGAAGAAAGTGGTATGGTAGCCTAGAGGTGGAGCTCTCGCCTCACAATCAGGAGGCGGTGAGTTCGATCCTAGGTAGAGGCAGATGTTTGTCTCTCTGGGCACTGGGAATATATCTGCTGGGGGAAAAACTCCGCATTGGCGGCAGGAAAGGCAACCGGCCAGTAAACACTCAGCTCCATTCAGTTGCCCAGACTCCACCCCGCAAAAGATTATGGGGTCATTAAAAGAGGATGAAAGAGCTGCCCAGATATTTTTAGATACTGTCATGCTCCTGGTGGAGACTGACTCTGAGGGAGAGGAGAAACAGCCAGCAGGGGGTGGAAGTGTGGCTCTGGAGGTTGTGGAGGAGGCTGGGGAAGGGCAGAGGCTGGCTCGGCAGTCAGAGGAGGACCCAGGCCCGTCCCCTCTCCATCCTAGGACACGCAGGGAGGAGAGGATAAGGGAAAGACATGGTCTACTTGGGTGGAGGAGGGCCTTGATCCTCTTCATGGGCTGCAGCTGTGACAACTGGATAAGAGGACGGACCTGCTTACTGGCGAGTGCTGGAAACAAAGCGTGGAAATATCTCTAGTTTATGGTTCCTCTCTGAGTTTGGCGTCCTTCCCAACGTGTGTTCTGTTATCGGTGGACGTCCTCCAGCCCTTACCTTGCCTGGTTTGTGTTGTTTTTTACTCTTTATAATTTAAACGGCATTTCCTCCTTCTTGTAACTGCTTGTGTGGGAGTTTTTTGTCTCCAGTCAAGGATATTTGGAGCTTGGAAGCAAAGTGAAGGAATAAAAGGGGCTTCACCTGTTTTTTTGTGACTGTGTTTCTTTTGTATCCCACCCCGGGTCATCACAGATACCCATACTGGGAAGCATTTTAAAAGGGTTGTTGTTTTTTGTGTGTGTATATATGTGTGTGTTGCATCATTGGGTTTTCAGTTTCTCCTTTCTTGACTTAGGCCAAGGATTCAGGGAAGCCTCAGCAGGTTTCCCATACCTTCATTCAGATCCGGGTGATCGAAGAAAGCATCCACAAGCCCACAGCCATTCCCCTGGAGATTTTTATCGTGACCATGGAAGACGACTTCCCAGGAGGTGTCATCGGAAAGATCCATGCGACAGACCAAGACGTCTACGATGTCCTCACCTACGGCCTGAAGCCGGAGCAGAAAAGTTTGTTCAAGGTCAACAACCACGACGGAAAGATCATTGCCCTCGGAGGGTTGGACAGCGGGAAGTATATCCTGAACGTATCTGTCAGCGATGGGCGGTTCCAGGTCCCCATGGACGTGACAGTCAACGTCGAGCAGTTGGCCCAGGAGATGTTGCAGAACACCGTCACCATCCGTTTTGAGAACATCTCCCCGGAGGATTTTGTGGGTCTTCACATGCACGGCTTCCGGCGCACCCTGCGCAATGCTGTCCTCACCCAAAATCAAGACAGCCTGCACATCATCAGTATTCAGCCCGTGGCTGGCAGCAATCAGCTCGACATGCTCTTTGCGGTTCAGATGCACACCGGCGGCTTCTACAAGCCGGCCTACTTGATTCAGAAGCTCACCAATGCAAGGCGACACTTGGAAAATGTGATTCGCATCGCTGCCATCCTTGAGAAGAATTGCTCCGGGCTGGATTGTCAGGAGCAGCATTGCGAGCAAAATCTCTCCATCGATTCCCATTCCCTGATGACTTACAGCACGGCCCGGATTAGTTTCGTGTGTCCTCGGTTCTACCGAAACGTCCGCTGCTCTTGCAATGGTGAGTGCCACTTCCCATCTCTCCACCACTCTTGTTCTAGAATAGAATAGTATAACAGAGTTGGAAGGGACCTTGGAGGTCTTCTAGTCCACCTCCCTGCCTAGGCAGGAAACCCTATACCACTTCAGACAAATGGTTGTCCAATCTCTTCTTAAAAACTTCCAGTGTTGGAGCATTCACAACTTCTGGAGGCAAATTGTTCCACTGATTAATTGTTCAGTCAGGAAATTTCTCTGAGGAGAAATTTCTAAGGTTCTAGGTTGCTTCTCTCCTTGAGTAGTTTTTTACCCATTGTTTCTTGTCCTGCCCTCAGGTGCTCTGGAGAATAGCTTGATTCCCTCTTCTTTGGGGCAGCCCCTTAGATATTGGAACACTGCTATCATATCTTCTTTTCATTAGACTAGATATACTCAGTTCCTGCAACCGTTCTTCATATGTTTTAGCCTCCAGTCCCCTAAGCATCTTTGTTGCTCTTCTCTGCGCTCTTTCTAGAGTCTCAACATCTTTTTTACAGCGTGGCGACCAAAACTGAATGCAGTATTCCAAGTCTGGCCTTACTGAGCCATTATAAAGTGGCATTAACACTTCACATGATCTTGATTCTCCTCCTCCTCCCCATTCAAAGCTACTTTTTATTTCTGGGATGACGCAGCCAACATAGGGAGCTCATAGGGAGCTCAGGTCACCTGCCTAAAAAAAGATCTGGCACCTTTGTAAACCCAGAAGGCTGAGACTTTTAATTCTCACGCTCAAACGGGGAAAATCTGATCTAGATCGAGGTCAAAGAAAGCTAGCCAACTTTGACCTCTTGGGACAAAGGCAGCCAAACTTTCAGGACATGGCCTAATGAAAGAGGTCAGCTGTGCCATGGAAAAGGTTGTGGGGTTAGGAGAGGGAGCACACTGGGGGCTTGGAAAGCTGTGGTTGTGTAAGAACAATCCCAGAAGGTCTGCAGTGTTTTTCAGACCGATCGGGGCATCTGACCTGAGCGATAAAGTTTAAAAAGATGTTGACTCATTTTCTATTTTGCCAGAGTACTGAAAACCAACAAAGCATGTCATTAAATAATTGAGACTGAAGGGAAAGTTCTTGACCTTTCCCAGAGCATACAAATATGATCGGAAACTTCTGTACTGTTTTGAAGGTGGCACAACTGCGACGTTTGCTTTTTTTTTAATACATATTAGGGGCTGTAAAAAATTGAAGGGCCTTGTTGAATTAGCCTAAAGGATCATCTCTGTGGTCTGTTAAATGCAGGCTATATTTTTGGGTATTCCTCTTTCCTAGAATTCGCGCCCTTAAGAAGGAAATATTGGCAGAAAAAATACCTCGGAGCTGAAATAAACCCACCAAAGAGAATGCCAACCAAATTTTACACGGTGTAACGAAGGCCGAAACAAATGAGGGATGTTCTTAAAATATGCATCTTATTCCACAGCTTATTCCCACAGATAGATGTCGTGGGCATTCATTGTTTATGCATACCAGCTGTGGAGCAATTTCACTTAGTTTACCTTGATTAGCTGGGATAGTTACCAAAACACAAAATAAGTTGCAAGATGCAGGAAAAAAAAGGCTTGGTCCTCTCTAGGGTTTTGAACCTTTGTGTTGGTTTGAATAGTAGTCAGGAAAAGTAGACGAAACAGTCCAGATTCCTTTGACTTCAGTCGGTAAAGTTTAAGTTTCAAAATGCTTAAGTTCATCTCAGAAACTTTAAGGAAATTAAATTAAATCAAATTTCCTGGTTGCCGGGACCTGGATAGGTCTGGACATCCCCAAAATGCAATACACGCGTGTGTCCGTTCCCCCCGCCCCTCCGTGCATGCATCCCATTCCCTGTGCATGCGCCGCGCCCCTGCGTATCCATGGCAGAGACCCAAAGACCAACTGGCTGGTGGGAGGCGCGCACACACATGCACAGCAGAGCTGAGCTGGGGCGACGGCTCGCATGCCCACGGAGAGGGCTCTGCATGCCACCAGTTCGCCATCACGGGTTTAGTCTAACGAAGAGAAGGACATGATAGCAGTATTCCAATACTTGTAGAGAAGAGAAGGGGTCAACCTATTTTCCAAACCACCTGAAGGCAGGACAAGAAGTAACAGACGGAAGGTTATCAAGGAGAGATCCAGGCTGGAATTAAGGAGAAATTTCTTTTCTAAGCACTAAGCACTACCTAGTTTCCAAGCCAGATAAGATCAGCGTGATGGAGAATATGAGTCTAATCCTGTTTAGCTATGAAGATTGGTAGTTGTGACCTTCGGTAAGGCTTAAAAACTTAATTTTTAAGAGTACTGGGTGAAGGTATTGAATGAGCCTGTCTGGGAAATTGGTTTAAGATTTTGAGCATGCTGTGTTGTTGTTTTACTTGTTTATTTACTTTTACTTTACTTGTATTTTATAGTCATGGTGCTGTTAGGTTTATTGTTTATTTCTTTATTTCAAATCCAATGCTCGCTCCATAAGGTTATATTTTGCAAGTTGGGTGGATATACAAATAGACTACACAGAGACCTCTGGCCAATATGGGTTCAGCTGACACATTTCCATTTAATTTTACAATATTGCTTAATAACAAAGGATGAAATATACTTAACTGAGAGAACAGATGACTGATAAAATATGACTGAAACTGATAATAAGGGAGAATTGTGGTCATGTGATTCCTGCATTGGATCTCCATTTGCAAGTGATGGTTTCCAGAATCACCGCTAATTCTGGTTCACACATAATGCTAAACCATGATGTGATGTGTTGGGTGTTGGCATATCTTGACTCAAGCCAGTTCATCCTTTGTGGCATGCGGATGTGCATGTGATCCCAAAGCTGCAGTTTTGTAGTTGCAGAATTGTCTATCCCAAAATGTCAGGGTCTTGACTTATCAGGAGGAGTTTTATGAGCCCATCTGCCAAACCAAGTTGTATTTTCTAAGGCTCTTAGAAACTTTATTGGGCACTGGACCAGACTTTTGAGCGAGTTCGCCTTTAGGAAGCAACTATTTTGGTTAGCATCTTCCATTGCAAAATTGCCTGCTGTTTTGTTATGAATTGTTTTCCTTTTTGGTTTGTTTGTGATTCAGTTGTCATAGTGGTTAAATAACCATAAAGTTGAATAAATGAATTAAATACTGCTTTCCATAGATGTCCATAGAAATGAGAAGTTCCACTCAAACCAACTGTTATGTTGGAATTATAATATTTATAATAGGCTTTATTCACCGTTAAAGACAAAGAGAAGCTTCAACTTCTTCAACTTTTATACCAAAGGAATAAGAGGGGAAAATGTGTAGCTGCCATACGTATATGCACACAGCAGTTGTGTCTTCTTTGCAAGTTCATCCCCACCTCATCCTTCAGTGTCCTCACATCATAGCTTAACATTTTCTGTGAGCGTGAATTATGACTCCCACAAAGTGCTGGGTAAGCTTTTTAAAACCGTTCTCTAGTAATTTTCTACACCACTGCAAGAACATGAAGAGCCTTGTGGTTACGGCCATTTCCATCTCCTAGAGATACTTCGGAGAACCGCAGTTTGTGGTGAATTTTCATGGTAATGGGAATTTGGGAGTGGCAGAATGTGACAGTGATTTAACTGTTCAGGAAATTTGCTGACACCGCTGCATAGGATACAATATAGTTTAAATACTGGTTGTCATAAGTCAGCGCTAACTCTGACAGAGCACCATTTTCTAGCATGACAGCAGTTGGTTTTACTGGAAAATAACAGAAGATATAATTGGTAGGGTGGGGAAATTGAGGAGAAAAGAGAACAGACTCTGTGCTTTGGGGTTTTGCTCTCATTCTCTAGCATGACACGTCTAAAAAAAGATCTGACTTGAATTCAAGCCTTTAGCGCCACACCAGTAATCCAGCAATAAGCATCATGTTTTGAGAATTCTCTCTCCTCTAGTTGGCTTTTTTTTTTTTTTTTGCAGTTAACTGAGGGAGAAAAGCACAGCTCTCAGTTCCTTGGAATAGTCCACCCACAGTATAAACAAATAGTTTTGTTGCACTGGTGGTTAACCTTTTGGGGCTCCTATGCTAAAAATTATGTGCGTGCTGGCATGCGCATGCTCACATGCCACCACCTAGAAGGCAATGCGCCCCCCATGCCCCCTGTGCATGCGTGCGCAATCCCCCCGCCACCCCCTTACCTGCACTGCACCTCACAGCTGATTTTTGGCCGGTATGAGGCCTTTTTTGGCCTCTCAGAGGCTTGGAAAAAAAGCCTCTGCAGGCTTTGTAGGACGAATAAATAGGCTTGTTTCATCACTTCCGTTATTACAGGAAGTGACGAAACGGGCCTATTCGGCCTGCAGAGGCGTTTTCAAGCCTCTGGGAAGTCGAAAAAGGCCTCAACCAGCCGAAAATCAGCTGTGAGGCCTGCGCATGCGCAGTGAGGTAAGTTTGGCTGCAGCTTACGTGCCAGCACAAATGGCTCTGCGTGCCGCCTTTGCTGTCGATGGACCAAGAATGAAAATGAGCAGCTCGGAAACAGCTAAATATGTTTGCTTGTTCTTCAGTCTCTGAATCATGTCCAGGGCCTCCTGTTTCCCAGATGCCTATGGAGACTCTCAGATATCCAGGTCATGGTTGTTCCAAAAGACTTTTTCAAAGGGCAACTGGACTTTCTTGGGGTTTTTTTTTTTTAAGATGTTTCGCTTCTTATCCAAGAAGCTTCTTTAGCTCTGGGGAAGAACTGAAGAGAGCTGAAGAAGCTTCTTGGATGAGAAGCAAAACATTTTCAAGAAAAAACAAAGTCCAGTTGCCTTTTGAAAAACCACTTTTGAGACCACTGTCTCCCAGATGTCCCAGAGGTGCTTTTTCAAAAGACAACTGGACTTTCGTTTGTTTGTTTGCTTTCTTTGAAGACATTTTGCTTCTCATTGAAGAAACTTCCTCAGTTCTCTTCATTTCTTTTCCAGAACTGAAAAAGTTTGTTGGATGAGAAGCAAAATGTCTTCAAGGAAAAAAGTAAGTCCATCGTCTGTTGAAAAAGCATC